TAACAAAATTGAAATGTTTCTCAGTCCCAGATTCATGTCTTATCATCATTTTTGCAATGACTGACCTTCATTGAGATGATATACATGATATAAGAAGAACAAAGTGGTGTCAGGTTGCAACATTTTTTTCCAATCCCCCTTTCTGGCTTTAAAGCCAGCGGGGATAAAAAGCCCAGACGAGAAACTTTTTTTTTTTTACTCCGCCTTACATATATGCAACATCATTGAAGTTTACTGTCAAAAGTAGAGTTCCAAAACCTTTGGACAAAAATTAAGTCTTTTTTTTTTCTCACTTCCAAACTTATAAGTATGGGATTGTAGCTTCTTTTAAATAGTGTGAAGGTTCGTAGATTGGAAACAGAACTAATAATTTACACCTGCCGCAAAGTCACTGTTAAATGACACCTGTTGAACGCATTAAAATCAAAACTGTTGCGAACTTGCGTGTAACTGCACCGCAATGCCTGCCAGTGCCACGTTTGCAAAACATCTTAATTTCAACGCAAAAAGATACGAGCGTTCAACTAAATACAGAACAATTTGCCACTACCAGAAAGCTCTAACGAGAATTTAACAGAAATTTCCACAAAAAGTGAAATTTAAATATTTTAGGCCTACTTACCAGGTCCAAACTTAAAGTAACTTGTACTTGTAGTTTCGTCCAAAAACGTTGCGCTGGCGGAGCAGACGAAAATGAAAGTCTGCTCGTTGGACGTTGGCCGATACCGATTTCGAGACTTGACTTAATCGATACTACCTCCCGATGAATATAATCGATTAAAAATAGTTATACCGCAAATCAGTAAGACTGTTTTCCGTCAAATATATATTTTTTTCCAGCCCAAAAGTCAGACGCTTAATTCAGTTTACTGACATAAATGATATCTAACACACTGGGAACATAGTCCCTTTGAACACAGTATTATTGAACAACAAGGTTAGGCCAGGGCGCCCCCATTCTGTAGATCAAATTTCAAGTGAGTAGATCATATCTGTCCGTGCAGCAAAACGTGTAAGGAGATAAATATCACATTTGAAGAATTAAAAAAATATAAAATTGAATTTTTTTTAGAGATTTTCGAATCACCGCTTTATTTCCACTCTTAGTTTTCTCTTGGCTAAATTTTTAAAAAAATCTGAAAGACATTCTTCCCAAGTTGATTAGATGATATAGAGATAATTAAAATTCTTCGCATGATTTCTTGTCAGTATTAATTAATGTAAAAAAAATTCACTTTCTTCCCTTACTTTTCTAAGTTAATTTGAACCGATATCTTGGTATCGATACTGGTGTAATTGCGTGAGGGTTTTTTTGTGGGGGCGCTACAACGAATATAGCATCTCGATTCCTGGACTCGGGCCAAAAATACAACTTGGGTGACAATTTTCTAATGCCAATGACATCACTTCTAAGAAATGCAATTTCTTTCAACTTATCAGGTGTTAAAAAACAAATCGTGACCCTGAAATGGCTCAGAGTCTATTTTAATTTGTCCTTTTTTTGTTCCGCAACTGTTAACAGTTATAAAAGTATAAGCCTCAACACTAGCACAATCTTGCGGTGATCATACAACCCGCCACCTCGCGACAATAGTCCATTTAATCTCTTCAAGTAAACCAACAGGATTATCCGCACGCCAAATAATCCGGCTAGATTGAGCGGCCATTTAATTATAGTTTGCTCAAGGATTAAATTCGAATTTCGTCTGAATGGGCGACTGAAAGGTATGGTAATCTTCACACCGGAATTGAAAAGATGGACAATCATCATGACAGTGTAGTTTTCTTCTGGTAACCTTTCCCCCTATAAGTAAAATAGTTTTAAACGAATATCGTCTAATTCATTTGTTTTTAATCAAAAAAAATATCCTGAAGTAAACTGTTGTAAAAAAAAATATCGGGAAAAAGAGCAAAATATGTTCGCCTATACTGCTAGATGCTATTCAAAAGTTTGAAATGTATACATAATGTGCGTGTGTTCGTCAAAGATAAAATATGGAGTTTGGAAACAAAAAATGTATATTTTCAGTGAGCACATACTGGCTGCTTTCGCCTTCATTTTATTTGACGTCTTGTATTTTTTCCCAATACGTGTCCGAGTTCTTTCTTCTGGGTCATTCTATGTCGTCAGCACCAAAATTCGGGGATTAAGTCGTCTAGTCAGCTGCTTTTGTTATCGATTATTCTGCTCAACTTAACATGAGCAGAAATATTGATTGCGTACAAGATTAAGAGATACAAGGCAAGATTAAACACGTCGTGCAGTCACGGGGAATGGTGTTATATACTAAACTTCCACTAGGGGCCTCTTTTATTGGGGGGGGGGGGGGGCGGGGTGCGCGCGGTGTTCGATTCCAGAGATAGAATTTGACTGAACCCTTCTTGTTTTCAAGAATTATAACCCAAAAGTAGGCGATCGTGGATTCTCACGGGCTAGGGGAAATTATAAATTGTCTTGGGCCCTATTATTTTCCAAATTAGTTTCTTCGAACTTGATGGGATGATAGTTCAGAATAGTTTAATGCTAAACAATGACGCGTAACAAAGCCACATTTTCCAAGGACAGACGACAAAAAGGCAGTTTTAAAGCAAAATCGCGCTCCAACTTGTACTATGTAGGCATCAACCAGACGTTTGTGGAGGTTTAACAAAAAGTATACGTTGGTTTTACAAGTGACGTTACAGTTGAGACATTGGGTTGATCAATGAGGGCGCTCTTCACAACTTCGGCTTAAAAATCAAGGGGACTTTTTGCGCTAGCGTTTCACCTTATGATGATAGACTGTTTATTTTTTCGACATGTCTTCGAGAAAATTACTCTTTATGTATTCTTTTAAGTGCATGGAAACTTACTGGGGGTGGAAACTGTTTGATGAAGGGGAGGGGTTACCAGTCTTGTCCTTTTTCTAAAAAAAAAAAAAACAATGGGACACACAGTCCTGTCAACATATTGTCAATGATTTCTTTTTTGTAATTTTGCACATTCTTTTTAAAAGATTTTTGCTGTCATTGTTTTAAAAGTTACTATTGTCCACGTGAAAGCAATATTTAGTTCATAACTTTGTTTATTAATTAGCTTTGCCTTTGAGAAAAGACGTCATCAAAAATGTAATTGTCGGGCCATCTAGAAGAATGCCTTTTTGTGTGTGTGTTTTTTTTAGTGTATGGCCCTGTACAAATCCAGTTGTTCAGCATGCGTTATCTCCACATCTCAGTGTTCCTAGAGGATATAAGGTAATTAATTGTCCTCCAAATAGCCCGGGCCCGAACCATCCCGGGCTCAGGGATGACCGCTGGAAATCCTTTTCACTTATCACCCTCACTCATTATCTCTGATAATTTAATTCTTCTTTTGTGAAAAGTTGTTTTTAAAGTTCGTGAGGCATAATTAAGGTCAAATTTGGGTCCTAGGGTTTTTTTTCTGGAGGGAGCAAGCAAGAGTTACCTGTTGCAGGTTTTTAGTAAAGTCTAAGAAATAAGGTGCGTGTGTGAATAGACCTTAACTGATACAAACGAAAATGAGTCAAATAGAGTATTTGACCACCGTTTTGTTGTTACAAAAATAAGCTGGTGCTAGAATAAGACAAAAACAATTTTATAAAAAGGTTAGTTGTTTATAATGACTTTTAAAGATTAAACAACAGTCATTAAAACGCCATTATTTATTTTTTTCAAAAACACTTAGGTCCAATATAGACTTAAATAGCTTAAAACTTAGTTGAAAGGTGTTTTTATTATTTGAGAAAAAAAGTGACCATGAAACACCTGTCCCTTTGTTGCAATCGTGATTTTTTTTCTCCCTAAAAGTTTGTTACAGGTTGATACTCTGAGAAGCTATGGGCAGCCGATATGACCAATCCCTCTGACCAAGTTTTTCTCTTTGTTTTTTTGTTTAGACTCAACTTTTCTGACCTGCCCTTGTACATCGATAAAAGTTCAACAAGTCTTAACAACTTCCAAGCCAGTTTAATCTGTTACTTCCTGCATGTGTTGATTAACTGCATACAACATAAGCAAGAAGCAAGAAAACCTATTCCTGTGCATACAGTCCCATTTGAAATATCAAAACACGATACATATTTCAATTATATATACCAGAAGAGCCCAATGTTAATTACAAACAATTTTTAGAGAATAGAATATGCAGAAATACTGATTAGAAGTTTTCTCACCATTTTCAGAGCCCATTGGTGCAAAGTTAGAGGTATAGAGATGTGTTTCTCAAATGTTTGTTGATCCGAACACAGCTGTTTCTGCTAATTAACCTGTGCAGTATGAATCACAGTGTCACTGACACCGGGTACGGAGCATTGTGCCAACACACTCTTTGCGTGTGCACGTGGGCTTATCCCAAACTTATTTTTTTTAAAGCCAATGATGACATATAAGATGGTATCTTGGAGTTTTGCATCTTGGGAAGAAGGCATTCAATCCATCTGAGTTGTAGTTGAGTTCATCACAAGTCAAATCACAAGTCAATCACAAGTCAAATCACAAGTCAAATCACAAGCCCATCACAAGTCCATCACGTACATGTCAAATCACAAGTCCAACACAAGTCCCAATGACCATCACTAGTAAAGTACATCGCAAGTTTATCACAAGTCCATCATAAGTCCATCACAAGTCCATCACAAGTCAAATCACAAGTTTATCACAAGTCCATCATAAGTCAAATCACAAGTCCATCACAAGTCAATCACAAGTCAAATCACAAGTCCATCACAAGTCCATCACAAGTCAAATCACAAGTTCATCACAAGTCCATCACAAGTCCAATGACCATCAAAAGTCCATCACAAGTCAAATCACAAGTGCATCACAAGTCAAATCACCTTGATACTAAAATCATACCAAAAATGGCAAAAGGTTCCACTCTTCTCTGCAAATATGCATGTGGTATCCGTTATAAAGTGTCAACACCACTTGTTTTTGTTTTTTACATAAAACATTTTTTAAATTTCTTTCTGAAAAAAAAAAACCCCAACGGTCCTGTTGACGTCCAAATAAAAGTCGACGTTGCTAATTGATAACGTTCCCTCCTGCATTGGATGTTTCCTCGCGTGCTTAACATAATCACGCAAAGTCCACCGTTGATAACCGCAGAGCAGCTGCACTGGCACGCAGGTACTCCAAGTGGCTTAGTGATGACAGATCAGCAGGTAGTAGCAACTAATTCATCCACTGAACATGTGTGTTTCGCCATTTCAGGCGTCAAGCACTTCGTACTAGGGTGTGAACGACTTTTGGAACCCTGGATCAAGTGCAGTGATATTGGTGCTAGTCTGTTTTCCGTGCTCAGCAATTCAGAAGTTGTGTGAGTAGTTCCTAATTTAATTTTCACAGATATTTGGAAGCCTGCACTGCACGCAGATTCCATAATTGTCGCAGTAATCTCCAACTTCCTCCGTTCGTTTTTAGCACAACATGCTCTCAAGCAGTTTATTTGGACACGTTTGGTCATTGTTTTCATTGTGGTCTAGTAGGTGTCTTTGTGCAAATAGCCCTTTAGGCCAGCAATTTTATTGAGAATTGGTCCAGCTAAACTTTGATGTAGTCCTTTCGTTGGATTCTTGCTCTTTGTGTACATCGAGTCGACATGTAGACTCAAAATTGTGCCTTCTGGAGATAAGCGATATTCGACTTTAAAGGTAATAAAACAACACTTGCTTTTGCTATATTTTTCAGAAATGGATGAATTTGGGGTTTTATTTACAGTAAATATTGTTACACTGATTTGTTTGAAGTTTTGTGTTCATAGATGCAGGAAAAACCAAGAAAAAATGGTTTTCTTGTAGTCTGGTTCCCTGACCCTACTTTAGATGAAACGGAGCTACTTATAGACATAGAGGGAATTGTCAGGTCAGGGAACCAGACTAGCTGGCTTGCAATGGAAAAAGTCATGTTTTTCCAACGATGGCCAGCCAACCATCGTTGCAAATTGATATGCAAAGTCCACATTTCTTGAAATTGACAGCACACCATGTGCCAGGATTTCACACGATGCTCGAGACTATTGTTTACTTACAGTTAAGTAAGGTATTTCTTAATAATTTAGTACTTTTGTTTTTTACCTTTAAACCTCATTGGGCATTATTTTTGTTTTGTCTTATCTAGACAATCATTTCTGCACTCAAACAGTTAATGCTCTGAAATATTAATTTCAGTAATTTTTGTATTAAGTTATTAAAGTCTTGTTTCATTAGCAGCTTCTTGGTATGTCTTTGGGTCATCGACCAGGAACTACCCTACTGTCACCGTCATGAGTCAACGTTCTTCCTGTCCTCCAAAGTCGTCCTTGCCAAACGCCTTGGAGTCTGCCCCTCGATGTGTGGCTTCCTGCGCAGATAAAGGCACTGCGGTTGTGTTCATTGCCGCATATGTGCTCGCTTCGCACTAATTTTAGGACTTCATTAAACGTGGTGATAAGCCCACATTGGCCAGTTGCACTCGGTTGGGTCGTGGTAGCAGATCGTCAGTGGATGGTGGTGGGTACCTCTTGGAAGGAATACCTTGTGGATGAACAATCTAGTCTGTTACGTGACAGGTAAGATCTTTGATTATTTTGAAATACAACTTTTGTTTATTGTGTCAAGCTATATTCTCAAGATTATAGTTTAAACATTAAGGCATGCCATATCAGTCACACGTGTACCATACCATCCAGAATTTTTGTCAAAAGGGGGAAGGTGTCTTAAATTTTGAAGCTCATTCTGTACCACACTGTTGCATCCACTCGTCACTGTGGCGGCACACTTATTCTCTACCACACTGTTGCATCCACTCGTCACTGTGACGGCGCGCTCATTCTAAACCACACTGTTGCATCCACTCATCACTGTGACAGCGCACTCATTCTATACCACACTGTTGCATCCACTGGTCACTGTGATGGCACGCTCATTCTATACTACACTGTTGCATCCACTCGTCACTGTGACGGCACACTCATTCTATACCACACTGTTGCATCCACTCGTCACTGTGACGGCACACTCATTCTATACCACACTGTTGCATCCACTCGTCACTGTGACGGCGCACTCATTCTATACCACACTGTTGCATCCACTCGTCACTGTGAGAGCCCACTCATTCTATACCACACTGTTGCATCAACTCATCACTGTGACGGCGCACTCATTCTATACCACACTGTTGCATCCACTCATCACTGTGACGGCGCGCTCATTCTATACCACACTGTTGCATCCACTCATCACTGTGACGGCACGCTCATTCTATACCACACTGTTGCATCCACTCATCACTGTGAAGGCGCACTCATTCTATACCACACTGTTGTATCCACTCATCACTGTGACGGCACGCTCATTCTATACCACACTGTTGCATCCACTCATCACTGTGACGGCACGCTCATTCTATACCACACTGTTGCATCCACTCATCACTGTGACGGCGCGCTCATTCTATACCACACTGTTGCATCCACTCATCACTGTGACGGCACGCTCATTCTATACCACACTGTTGCATCCACTCATCACTGTGACGGCGCACTCATTCTATACCACACTGTTGCATCCACTCGTCACTGTAACGGCGCACTCATTCTATACCACACTGTTGCATCCACTCGTCACTGTGACGGCGCACTAATTCTATACCACACTGTTGCATCCACTCATCACTGTGACAGCGCACTCATTCTATACCACACTGTTGCATCCACTCATCACTGTGACGGCACGCTCATTCTATACCACACTGTTGCATCCACTCATCACTGTGAAGGCGCACTCATTCTATACCACACTGTTGCATCCACTCGTCACTGTGAAGGCGCACTCATTCTATACCACACTGTTGCATCCACTCGTCACTGTGACGGTGCACTCATTCTATACCACACTGTTGCATCCACTCGTCACTGTGACGGCGCACTAATTCTATACCACACTGTTGCATCCACTCATCACTGTGACAGCGCACTCATTCTATACCACACTGTTGCATCCACTCATCACTGTGACGGCACGCTCATTCTATACCACACTGTTGCATCCACTCATCACTGTGAAGGCGCACTCATTCTATACCACACTGTTGCATCCACTCGTCACTGTGAAGGCGCACTCATTCTATACCACACTGTTGCATCCACTCGTCACTGTGACGGTGCACTCATTCTATACCACACTGTTGCATCCACTCGTCACTGTGACGGCGCACTCATTCTATACCTCACTGTTGCATCCACTCGTCATTGTGACGTGACGGCGCACTCATTCTATAACACAGTTGTTGCATCCACTCATCACGTGATAGCATACTCATTCTATACCATGATGCTGCATCCACTCAGCACTATAATGACGGACTAATCCTATACCACACTGCTTCAACTTACATAAACTGCATAATCTTCCTTTTAGTTGCTCACAAACTTTAATTGAAAGTGTTTTTGCCAATCATGCCAGCTTTCAATATCAATTTGAAAGCTGTACCTCACATCTATATTCATACCCCCCCCCAAAAAAAATGTCAAGTCTTCCTTCAGACCTACTTAGTTCTTTCAGACACTCAAATGCAAAGTGAAGTTGTCAAGTGGCGTTTTTGTTTCCACGCAACCTCGACCGAATCAACCCATTTCCTGGTCACACTGAGTAATAGCCCGAAGGAATTTCCACTGTTGAAACAATGGCTTCCTCCCAGGATGTTTTCTCTTGTCGTCTGGAAATGTTTCTGGTCGCTGTTGACATACTGACCTGGTGCCTTCCTCTGTGCTGTTACAAAAGCAAGTCCAATTAAAAGAGGTCAAGTTTGGCACACAGCCAAGTTCATTTTGGTGTCTGAAGATTTCAAACTTGGCAAATATAGGACCAAGAATACTGATTTTGTCGTCAAACTCGTGTGCACAGATCACCCATAAATGAAGATGAACTTTACATTGTGTGTGTTTTATGTTGAGTTGTAATGCATCGGAATGCTCAGGTCAAGTTAGGTCAGGTCGGGTCGGGTCGGGTCAGGTCTATATGGGCCTTATGCATGCCATTTTTGTAAAGTGCCCTGAATGTACCGTATTTCATTAATTGTTAACTGTTGAATGGTGCCAGACTATTTACGCAGGCATATAATATAGCCTTTTTTATCTGGCTTTAAACATTAGGAAACGTTAAATTACAAATTTTAAATTATTCATTGAAGCAGACTAGAATTAAATAGTAATTAACTTGCTTTCATTTCTCTTCACAAATTCCCAAAATTAAGATTTTACTTCACTTTCAATTCAATATGTTTGACTCATGCCATAAGGCCCATTACAGTTCATTATGAAATGACTGCACTTTGATGACTTGCTTATTTATTGAGAGATCTCTCTTTAGATTTCCTTTCCCTTTTTGAAAGATTCACATTTTTGCCACCTTTTTCCGGGGGGAAGACTATTGTCAAAATGAATTGTGACTCTGCACTTTGCAAATGGAGCTTTGGTTGCCATGGTTCCACATCCTGTCATAGATACACTGTTGCATCCACTGCCCATCTTCAGATGTTTAGGAAATAATTGGCATTAACAAAAGGGGAAAAATCTGCAGGTCAGCTGCCATTAAAGTTGTCACCAGATACTTTTCAAATGTTGTCACTGACAAGAAATTTCAGATCCTTTCAACTATAAATTAATCACTTTGGATAGAGACCACTAAATGTTGCTCACTGGTTGCTATGACAGGTTTTGTCCGCAGCCCTGTTCTAATACCAAACTTTCAAGGAGAAAAGGATCTGGGGTTGACACATCACAGATTGAAGCGATTAAAAGAGTGGGAGGGGGATTATTTTGTCTATAAACAGTGTACCAGAAGGATTAACCCTTGTATCTCTTTACTGTCGCACATGGCGCAAGAGTTCATCCACACTTATTCACCGCTGGCAACAGATCTCCTGATAACAGGCAAAAAAGTTTCCCCCGCAGGTTGCGGAAGGGATTTGATTAGATAGGGGTGGAGTATTGGTCCAGGAGGGGTTTCGGACAGTCAGAAGTAATAAGAATGTACATAGAGTAGCGTGATTCATCAGCTTTAATAGCAGCAGCAATTGACTTGTGTTTGCTTGTTGCAACGTTTGTCAGATTGGTCGTTTGGAAAGTCGGTGTTGTCACTCACAGCCAAACTACGGAATTTCAGGTTGGGGTTTTTGTTATTTGATGTCAAAATTGAAAAATCCAACACTATTTGTAAAGAGTCCCTACATGTATGTCCAAAATGACAAAAAAGGGGCCAAAAAAGTATTGTTTCTGCATGAAATCATTCAGTTAAGTCCCACGTGTGTTTGCATAAACCATACACTGCTTTGGGAGGTTATGTATTGATGTGAACATCAAGTGAGGTTTTTGGAAAAGACCGTGCATTCCTGCCTCTGAGCAAATGACATAAGCTTACCCTTTTAAGTTCTATATTGAATGAATCTGAGTGCATCCTATCAGACAAAGTGCAGTGGCTCTGTCAGTGTCAGTCGAGCTCACACGTCTTTCTGTTTCTGTCTGATCACAGGTGCAAGCCCGAGTGACTCAAGCAGAATCGCATGTCAGTAAGGCTTGGATAGAACAGCTGGATTTTAAGCCCACCCAGCGCCACAGAATAAAAGACAGAGGACTATTTTGTTACTGACAGCCCTCCTTTTGTCGCCCCCATCATCTATCTTTGGCAGATCGCTGGTTTGTTCTCTAGGAGTGGAAGGATCGAGTCAGCTGTCTGCCAGAGTCTAGCTTACTGAAGAATGCTTGAATTATTGACAAGATAACTGGACAGTCGTGGTGCTTCTTTATTGTGTTTTCTGCAATGCTACTGTGGACTATTGTGATGAGCAGTGCCAGAAACTGCCAATCTTTTGACAAGGCAGTTTATTTTTTTATATAGGTGTTTGACAGATGACTTGTGATGCAAAATATCAGCCAATTTCATGCTGCTGGATTCTGCTACGGCTGACAGATATGACTGTATTGTTTTGAGGACTCTTTATCTTCTGCAAGTGACAGAGATTGTTTTAGATGTCCTAAGGAGATCCAGATCATTATAAGTTGAGATCGACCTCCCGTCTCAAAGATGTCTGTGACAGTACCAGTCAACATTTCAGCTCCGATTGGGCCTTACCCCATAATCTACAACACCCCACGAAGTATGGAACCCAAGACACCTCCGAAGCCACTCCCCAAAAGAAAACCGGAGTTTCAGGGGATGCATATTTACGACCGGGTTCCGCTGGAGGGTTCACTCTTCAAACGATCCTACTCACCCGTGATGTACCCCAAGAGGCCAATCCCAGCTCCGCCCGGAAAGCTGGTGCCGAGTCTTTTGAATATTTTGGCTGTGAGCACTCAGAGAAAAGATCCGGAGAAAACATGTGAGAAGCAAATTCCAACTCCCCCGGAGAAGCCCGTCTTGGCTCCGCCAGACAAAGTGACAACTCCTGGAAGTCCAAAACAGGCTGTGCGATCGGAGAACAAACCCATCCTTCCCATCAAGGATAAGGCCAAGAGGCAAGGATGCCCCAACCTCGAGGAGCAGGTGGTTATAAAGCCTTCTCCAGAGGTTGAGATGCTCAAGGAAGAAGTCACCAAACAGACATCTCCTCAACAGGAAAGTCCAGTCTGTGAGAAGAAGGAAAGTGATATCAAAGAGGACAACTTTCACCAAGAGAGTGCCAAGTGTGAGGAGGAGGATGGCAGTATGTCCTCCAATCTTGAAAGCTCTATCTCCAAGGAGCAAGACACGGAATCAATCAAGACTGAAACTGGCAGCATGTTTTCATCTGATCATCGCTCCACGACCTGCTCCGCATCATCTGCTTGTTCATCCTCCTCTGCTTCCTCATCTTCATCTTCATCTTCCTCCTCTGCCTCCAGCAACACCAGCTCCGAATCATCCGACTCCAGCATTGCCAAAGCCTTCTTCGGCACCCCAAATCTTGGCTCCTCCACACCAAAACGCATCGGCTCACCTAAGAGCTACACCCCTGTGGAGAATCTGTATGACTCATGGCGTTTGGACACGACCGCTAAAACCGAAAGCAACACACCACCTGTGAATACTAACAGCACTGTTCAGAAGCAAAACAAGTGTTCAGGGTATTATGCCGAGATTTCAGACTACATGTCAATAGCCGCGCCGGGAAGTTCCAAGACCCTTTCTGCTGACAATCAGGCCACGGTTCTCCCCCCACCGTTGGAGTTTTGCAACAGCATCCGCAAGGTTAAAGAGCAGGCTTTGTACATGAATCTACCGACACACAAGGCTGGAATCTCATCTTTTCAGACGAGCAAAAATTCGTTGAGAGAGCAACAGATGGATGAAGTCATTGTCAACGATTATGTGGACCCTCAGGATGAACTGGCGGATGAACCCAAGGACTACAAGAAGGGCGTCCTGTCAACAAACTCCAAAATGAAAGATCATTCAAGAAATAGTGCCTCCAATCCATACGAGACACCTTTAGACCTTGGCACAGCAGCCACACAAACTGACCTGGAGGTGGGGACATTGTCCTGTGATTGCGGAGAATTCTCGAGTTCCTTGGCTGAGATGGAAGAGTTGGTATCCCAGCTGAAGCAGGAGCAGAACATGCGGAAGGTCTCAGAGCAGCTTGTCAAGATGGTAGAGGTGGAGGTCAAGGAGTTAAAAGAAGACCTCTTGGCTAAGAAGACAGACCTGGTCCGAGCCTTGGAAGAAAAACAGAACACTCAGGTAAGACAGGATTGTTTCTTTCTGCAAACCCAAACAATTACCTACGGGACAATAGACCCATGAAGACTTTGACGATAAAGGGAGATGAACAAAGTATAGTCCTGTTTCTGATACAGTTTGAAACCTTGTGAGGCTAGATCTTTGAGACCCTGCAATTTATTATCAAGTGTATACAGAATATATGCTAGTTACTTAAAATATAAATAGCAAGTAATCAAAAGCTTATATAAAATCATATAAAGAAAGCCTAAATCCCCAAGAAAATAGGGGGGGGGTAGGAAGATGAACAATAAAGCAGTACAACTACCAGTCATACAGACACTGCACAGGGCCTAACTTTGAGAAGAGATTTTAGTGTTTAAAAAAGAACTCTTTTGTTGGTTTGTCACCTCTTGTAGTTAAATTTACCTGAAGGAAATTGGATAACAAGATTACTGAACACAGTTGTGCCTGGGGTGGGGGGGGGGGGGGGGTGGGGTGGGGGTGGGGAGTGTTTGTTTATGCCCCAGGAGATTCTGTCATGTTTGAGTGCATGTTGGGGGAAACATTTAAGGGTTGACATGCAAGGTGTACCAGGGGGTAAGAAGAATTACGAGGGAAAGGAAATCCATTATTATGGGGTTGTCAAAAGATTACCGAGTTGTATGTAACCTGTCAGTGAGTTGCAAGGGCAACAAAGGTTCTTCTTTACCAAAAGTCAAACATTTTTTCATATTCATAAAAATTTACAAAATCCCATTCGTACTGGGGGGGGGGGGGTTGGACTACAAGAATTACTTTTCAAAGCAAACTACATGAACATGGTTTGGAAGTGACAAGACATCCCCCTAAAAAAAAACAACCTGTAGTTCTCCTTGTCTAGTTAATTAATACATCCCTGTTAATTGAGAGAAAAAAGGCCGCCCTCGGAAACAACTTCATTTTGAATTGGAGAGGTTGTTGAGTGATGATGATTTCCGCTCAGTCCTGTGGGTCACTATAAATCCACAAACCTGCAGTGGAAAGATCCTTCAGGAATTCTTTTCACTCATTTAAACCTGAAGGCATGCGATAACATCACCTCATGAACAAAATTGACCTATCGCCGTTTGCGAGTTAGCCACGCCCCTTAGACAACCCTATGGAGTTTTTGTACACTAAGATTTGTTTGTCTCAGATTTTGCGCGTTCCGCGAGTTGACGCGATTCTACCTCGATTCTACTGCGACACATGTAGGTTCATTAGTCTGCAAAGAAGAATTATTTTGTGCAAGGGACTCATTTTCACCAAACACAGTTCTGGTAAGGGGAACCATAGGGGCAGCTTCCCCCCCCCCCCCTCCCCATCCTGAAATCTGGAAAGAGACAATGCCATTAAAGATTTCCCTCCTCATTGAGGACAAAAGATTTCACATTTGTCCTCCTCAATGATATGTAAAAGTTGATAAGAAAACCTACCTTACTTTTCTAGAGAGTTGTTGCATGCGCCATGTACTGTTACCCTTATAAAACACAGACTAGGACATTGCTCCCAAAAATGTAGGGGGTTAGATGCAGATGAAGTAGGGGAGGGGGAGGGAAAAGGTGCCTGTACGATTCCCCAGTTCATTACCAGAACTGTGTTTGGTGAAAGTGATTCCTTTGCACAAAATATTGCTTCTTTGCGGACTAATTTGTTCACAAGGTGATGTTGTCGCATGGCTTCAGGTTGATGAACTTCATCCTGTTTTCTATCCATCCCCCGTGAATGTTGGAATGACACACAGCAGTCACCTTGTCCTGATACGAAACAGGTCTATTGAATTACATACATACGGATATTAATAGTCAGGCTTGGATTGGCAACCCACAATAAGCGCAGATCAAAATTTCTGACACTTCTTGGAGTCGCTGTTGACAAGTTGACCTGAGAGCATCACATCTCCCCTTGTTCTTTCCTTTGCACTTTGAAGTTTGCTGCCATATGTAGGTGTGTCGTTGGGGGATGGGCAGGGGTGGGGCTGAGGGTAGGGATAGGGTGGGGTGGGTAGGGGGTTTCAAACCTGTTTCCATGCAGTGGACCATTCCACTACCCATCTCTAGAAAAAAGATTTGCACTACAAATTGAGGATTTCACATTTTTGTATGATCCGTAGTTAGCTTATAGATAGACACTGAGTTGGAGTTGCAGTTGGAGATATGGAGCTAAACATTGCCATAAAACTTTTGGAAAAGTCAGAGTCCATAAAAATGGACGCTGTGCTGGATACAACATTAAGTATATCAGTTCAACTTCTTACAGTTGTTCATTAATAGTTCATTTTTGAGATCTGTTAAAACAAAAATTTGGAATCAAGTTTATTTATGTTATATACCGAGTTTGAAACACACTGTTACCCATTGTTTAAATGCACCCAGGTTTTATCTTGACAACTGTCTTAGTCTATAAAGGCAGGTTTAGTCAGCTTTAACATTCACACCGTCTGCAAGCATCATTATTATGATGTGTACATTACATTAAGTGTCTTTTTCATAGTGACATTTTGGCATGAATGCAAAGGGCGGGGTTGGAACTCAAGTATGTGTTAACATTTCCGGAGGGTACCGGTAGCTAGTAAGCCCCATGGAGACCCCCTAGGACAGAAACGGTAAAAAATCCAAAAAGTCCAAGAAAAGCCGGTTGTATCAAATGAGATTATGTGGTTTATGAATGGTAAGTGATTAATAAACCACATCCGGGTAGTTCGTCATGAGTTTCATAGAATACTATGTGAAGTTTGAAGGCAGTATCTCGCATGCGATTTGTTGCACTCGCGCTTTGCACGCACTCGTGCAGGTGGTTAGAAAATCGCATTTGCGGTTAGTTCGCTGCACTCAGTATTAACTTCTGAATTATAATTTTTGTGTCTTTCTCTCGCTATACTTGTGTGAGGCTATACATGTGCTCGAACCAAAGAGTTAACTTACATTAGTCTTTGTTCAAGACACTCTTGTGTTTTTTTTATACAAAGTGGCCGCAAAAGGGTGCTGGTGCCAAGACTAACTAATGCTAGGTTCACACATTCCCGAATTACTTATGAATACAACCAGAATAAACCAAAAAATGAAATTGGTTCCCGAATCACCCCGACAATTTTGAACATGTTCAAATTTGTCGGGGCGCTTCCCGATCTTTAACGATCTTTCACCAAACTAACAGAATCATCCCAAGGCAGCCAAGATCTATCCCTGATTTACTCAAGAATTGGTATTCGCGGCGATTCGGCTTAAAAATTGGGAATGTGTGAACCTAGCATTAGGCAAAAATGAATCAATGTCAAACATAGTAGGCAGGTCCTTGGGTGATAGTAAAGGTTTTTTTGTGGAATTGTATGTACTTGCCGCAACATCTTGTGTGTCAAAAAATTCAAACACAGGGACTCCTATGAAAACTGTGACACTCCTTTTAAAATGACCCATGTTATATGACAAACTGAATTCAACAGCTAATCTGATGATATTACCAACAAATCCATATGACCCCCCCTATATGCAATACAATAAGCATACAATAAGCATACATAAAGACTGTTATTAATCAGGACAGGCCTGAGTATGTACTTAATTCCTGCTCTGTTTATGTGTGATTTCAGGGCGAGCTTCGCGAAACGACAAAGATTGCTGCTCAGTACAAACTACAAGTTGATGAACTGGAGAAGAGTCTAGCCCAATCAAAGACAGAGGTAACAGAGATAATATTATATAGACAGTAGTTCAAGTGCAAGCATAGGAACGAAGGCTGGTTATTCTCCACGTGAATACCAATGCGCATTTAACGTCACAGAACATCCCCCCTCCTTACGCTTTTCAAATTTACATCATTTGGTTCTGTGTGGGTCACCGGAGCATGTTACACTTTTCTTACTGTGTACAATTAAACCAATAAGCATCACTAATGTTCCTCTTGCAAGACATTGGCAGATGTGCTGAGATTTAAATCTGCATCCTACAATTCCACTTTTTCTCTGTGTTGGACAGATTTCAAAGCTTGAGGAAACATTGGCAGTCGCTGGCAGCCCAGAGAGTGGGTAAGTCCTCGCCAACTTGGAAAAAATTTGCAGAGGGTTAGGGTTCATATGGTACGACATGACCCTTTTACATGGTTTACATTGTGAGAAAGTCTTTTCACAGCCAAGCTGATATTAAATAAATGCAATTCATTTTGCCCTAAAATATAGCATTGCCTTGCAGTGGCGTAGCCAAGGGAAAGCATTGGGGGGGGGGGGGGGGAAGGGGATATAACCTTATGTAACGAACCGCCATGAAGAGTGCCACCTAGCGTCTGGTGTCTGCTTTGAAGGGCGCCCCCATAGAAAGAATTAATTGTACAGAAACTGGGTGATCGGTGAAAAAAGCCCTGTCTACATTTCAGCACGAATGCTACAGAAATTGGGCATCCCCCCCCCCCACTGTAACATCAAGCCCCTCGCCACCTATGGTGAGAACGCTGGCTACCCTGCTGCTGCATTGTAGTAAATGTGCAAAGAGCCATCATATTCACTAAAAACTGTGTCAGAGTGGTTCAGCTACAACACATATTGAGTTTTAGCTTTCATACCATAAATATCTTTTTTCAAGACGGTTCATTTGGGTCCAGTTTTGTAGTATCTCAAGTATTATTGTCACCTGGATTAAAAGGTCTCCTACTTGTGATTTTCTTGCATCAAAGGAGGACAAAGGAGGAGAGATCAGATCTAGACTTTGACAAGAAGATTGCGGAGGCTAAAGACACAGAAGCTAAGAATCGTCTTGAAGGTAAAAATTAATATTGAATTCAATATTTTTCATGATTTCATATTTTTAATGAACATTAATTTTATTGAGCTATGTTCCTGTTTTTAATTTCTTTTGTTGAGAAATAAATTGTAGTTCATGGATACAGCATGAGGTTTGCATTTACAATTTTTTAAATTAACTTTTGACCAATTAGAAACTTCACATTTTGTAGTAAGGGAATCACTTCCCAAAGAAAACAACAAAAACTAAGTTTGTTCACGAAAACGGGGCAAGTTTTACATTTAAAAATTGTTTGGTGGTCGAATTTTGACCAATCAGAAACTGCGAAGAGCCAAGTTAGGGGATCATTTCTGTTAGGAACATCATTAGTTTTAGGATCTACAATGCTTTTCTTTGTGTTAACTGGCTTGAACTTGGGAAGGAAAAACCTGAATTGAGATCTTGGGGCCAGTATCATGAACACATGATTGCAATTTTCTAGAACATTTATCTGGGCTTTTTCCTCCCCAGCTCAGAAATTTATTTTCCTCGACAACAAGTGGATTCAATTATCATGCTGTCTTAACTATGCGGTGGGCTTAGTGCCTTGACTATCATGGTTCCCTGTCAAAATTGGAATTTCCTTCAGTGACACAAGTGCCTACTCATATGCATATGAGTCATAGGTGTTTCTTCTTGTTAGAAGTGATGGTTATGTAATACAAAATCAGTGGTGATGACAGATTTATTGGAGAAGATTGGAGAGCAATAAAAAGGCAAAAAAATAAACTGGCCCTAAAAAAATATTCTGCCCTGAAACAAAGAGTTGAAAAGCAGGGTGTTTGGAGGTGGATGTGACACTGAACAAATTGTCAAATATCCAGCAGGCAATTTAGTAGAGTGTACTTGTGCACACTGTAGGGGCTCCTTCAGGGAAATAGAAATGGTAATGTATAGCCAAGCAGTGAAGGTAGTGTTTTGCACTTGCATTTTGTTGGTCCAAGGTTCACTGCTCATCGTATACATTTTACATTAAAGCTGTTTAATGGAAAAAATATGGACAACAATTCTTGGGATTGAATGTTTTGTTTCTAGTGGTACAGACAGAGCTTCTGGCTTCGAAGGATGAAGTCAACAGACTGTTGTCTCATTTGGCTCAAGCGACCAGAGAAAAGTAAGAAATCTTATTTCTATCGAATAATTATGTTTAGTTCAATAATGTCAACATTTTGTCTTTTAAAATCATTTTTTTTAGAAGCTAATCTTTAAAAGGGGAAGCTCTGAAAAGCTCTCTGAATTATTTGAGCCCTTTGAAAAAAAGAGTGCTGGTTTAAAAACAATGTCCACATAAGGTACACCACGCGCAAGTTAAGTGGGTCGTGTGCAGAGAGTCCGTTCAGCACACACAGCTACCCCCTTCTTTTCCCCCCTCTTTCCCTCCTTTTTATTTAAAAAAAACCCCTCCCCCAACCACCCCCTCCCCTGTTGCTACGTCACTGAAATATGTATCTTGCCATAACTAATTCCATCAAACACAAATCATTGATTATGAAAGTAAACAGTTTTAAATACCTTTTTAGTAATATATTAAATTGTGGTCATGTTTTCTTTTTGTACAATTGTAGGGCTGATATGGTTTCCAGTAAAGTTCACAAGGAGCTGTTACGAATGGCCGAGGAGAGAGCCAGTCGGGCAGAGATGAAGACCCTGGCACTGCAACGAGAGGTAGGAGCAGGTCCTGTCTCAGACAGGATGGGGTGGGATTGGGCTGCCTCTGCATAAAATCCCCCTCCCTTAACCCTGCCTTAATTCTCTCCTCCCCATCCCCAACAGAAGCATTAACGTATCAAGAGACTGACAGTGTGCATACAGGGCTGGATAGCTCAGTTGGTAGAGCACCTGTATGGTGTCCCAGAGGTTGCAGGTCCAAGTCCCACTCCGGTTAATTTCTAATGAAATGTGCCGATCACAAGGCACTGAAAAAAGAGCTCAGGGGAAAAAGGAATTAACAGGGTAGAAAATAGTGATTTATGTTGGGTCCCAAGTTGGAAGGATTTAAGAGTGGAGTAGTTTGGGAATAGGGTATAAGTTAGGAATTTCATTTAACTGAAGGAGCTGAAAGTGTATTTAGTGTATCCCACTAAAATGAATACCTTGTATAATTGCATACATCTTAGATGGGGGTTGCATTTAGCATGTAGATTTTTTATCAAACTGTTATAAAATAAGCTGATGACTGATCCATTTTTGTTTACAGCTGGGCATCTTGATGGAAGAGCGCTATCTGTCAACAGGAGAACCTCCTAAGATCCCTCCCCGTCGCAGCGAGGTCAAGTACCCAGCCTCCTCGGTGGGCATTCGAACCTCTCCCAAATACTTCCAGAAGCACAACACTCTCTACAGCCGGGGTAACATTGGCGCCAAGCGAGGGCAGCCTGCAGCTGGCGGACGGTCTCCGGGGGGTGCTGCAGCAGGGAACAAGAGAGCCAAGACACAGAATCGGACCTGGTCACTGAAGAACGTGGAGGCAGGCAAAGCAATGAAAGAAGCTAAGAAGGAGGAAAATAAAGAAGTCAAGACCACGGGCAAGGTACTTGAAGAAAGTTCCTGGGATTATATACAAAAATGACTGCTTTAAATGGCTTATTAAACTCCCTCTTCAGGTGATTCAATTTTAAGGGCTTTTCTTGACTGTAGCATGCAGAAGTGTCCAGAACTACATGTAAAATTCATGAATAATGCATGAAAATATAAGGGTTTTAAAATTTTAGACCTTTCAAAAAGCTACCAATTGTGTTTAAATTTAAGAATTTCAGCAAATGAATAATGAACATAGCTGCTTCTATTGCTTAGTGACTGGATTGACCTGAAAAATACATTAAAAAGATAAAAGACCAAGCAGGATCCTTCTCAGAGGTAACATTTGGAAATTTTCAAAAAGTCACAATATTGGCTCCGTTTTGGAAATGGTGTGCATAGCACAATGAGACCTGAACATTATCTTAAAGGGCTGAGGATTTTTTGAATGCCACATTTAGCCATTCATCACTGACTTCAGTTGGTCATTGAGTAATTTTTCTAGCTTTTTTTTTTCCTGTCTTTTTCTCTAGGTGTCTTTCCTGCAGCGAGTTCAGTCTCGTGTCTCCAGCGCCCAGTCCAAGTCAGAAGTCCAGAAGTCTTTATTTAATCGCATGCAGTCACGGTTCTTCGCTAGATCGAAGAGCCCAGTCCCTCCATCTTCGTCGAGCTGTGACTTGCCGGACCTGTCCAGCCTGGAGGACGATTGTTCCAAGTCAGAGTATGAGATTCCGATGGATCCTGTCCAGAGATTCACCGGGACACCACGGATCAGTAAGTAGATTTGCAGTTGATCACAAGACAATCACAAGTCAGTCACAAGACAAATTGCAAGTCAATCAAAAGTCAATTACAGGTTAAATTTCCAAACATATCACAAGTCAATATAAGTAAACCATACGTCAATCACAAGCCATTTTCAAGTTTGATCATAAGTCAGTCACAAGTCAAGCACAGGTGGAGCACAAGTGGAGCACAAGTTTTATCACAAGAAAAATCACAAGTCAAACTCAAAGCACATTCTGCCAGCTGTTGAGAATAGTGCATACTTTTTACACAAAAGCAGATGCTATACCAATGATCTGGTATTGGTCCCTGATTTCACGAGGCTACACAACCAGCAGCAATAACACGTATTAGTCAGTCATTGGAAATTGGTTGTCACACTAATTTCTGTAAATCCCACAAAGCCACGAAACGCAAACAAAAGTGCAATGTCATTTCATTGAGAAGTACAAGACTTGACAAAAAGTGATGAAAGAAAGAAAATTGACAATTTGGGGGATGGAAAAAAATCCCTGGCAGACTCGAACCCACAACCTGATGATCCAAAGTTATGGCCCTTAACCATTAGACCACCCCTTCTTATATCAGCTTCTTATATCGCCCCTTCTTATATTTGCAATGGCTAATGTAAGAAGTAGAAAATACAGTGGCGTCAAAGGATATCTGCTGATATCATCAGCAACTGCTGATATAATCAGAAGTTGGTTCACACATAACAGGCGATGAACTATGACTTTTCACAATTAATTGGAAAAGTTTGTGACTTAATTTGATGAAGCATAACTTTTGATTGGTATGGGATTAGATTAATATTGACCTGTGCTTGAAGTTTAGGTTGCGTGTCAACTACTCCTTGACTCAAATCGTTTTCTTGGCAACATCTTGTAGAACAGCTTGAGGTTTGTCCTGACCTTGAGAATTACATGAGCACTATCCGTGGGATGGTTGTTAATTAGAAGAGGAAACATAATCACTATGAGTGAGCAAGCGCATGGTTACTTAGCAAATTAAAGCAGACCCAGGAAAATGGGAGGGGACTGCCCCTCCCCCCCAAAACCCCCCCAACTAATTAGGTAGATAGAACCCATGGATTCACTTGCATAATGTGTATAGAAGTCCTACCGGGTATCTTTTGATTTTCTTGTTTCAAGATCAGTAGCATAAATCCGTGTCGGCAATTAGGGGATGACCAAAAATCCTAAAATTGCCCAGTTTTGGAAATGCTAAAAAGGGGGGGGGGGTTTGGGGTTGGACTGCAGAAAAGTTACAAGACAACCAAAATCTGCATTTTTTTTCTCAGCACAAAATTCTGGGAGATGATGCAATGGCTCATCCCCCTGGTCAAAATGGGTGTGTGTGTGTGGGGGGGGGGGGGGGGGGAATAACTCCTTCCCCCTCCCCTCCCCCAGGATTTATGTCTATGTTAAAGACTGTGTTTGGCACTTGTAGTACCGGTTGGTAAGAGTTTGACAAGTAATCAAACAGTGTTAATGTTTTTGCCTTTGATTAAAACCACAACTCAGGTTTTGTCAAAAGGGTCTTGAGGTGACTTACCCTAGAAGTCATCGCTGATCTTTGGTCGGAAGAACAGGATTAAGAACGGACTATCCAATCACCTAAGGGTCGTATACGTCAACAAACTCGGCACACTGACAGCAGGAATCATGCATTCTGATCGAGTCCATTGACAACTTCCTTTTGGTAGCGTGTTTTGTCACTTTTGCGTAACTGAACTTTTTTCATGAAGTCAGAGGCGTCAAGTTTGTTCCGTTTTGTCATACTGAAGGAAAAGTCTGTGACTATACTGTGTCAGTGCAATCAGTCTGTTTTAATTTTAAGGATTAACATGAGAGAGCACTGAACTCTAACCTTTTTGCTATCATTTTTTCTCCATTAATTTTATTCTCTCTCACCCCTCCCCAAGTTATGCCATTTGTTTAACACTCTTTTATTTGTTCTCAAGAACAAATATCTACATGTATGTTGTATAAAAATGTCTCTCTTCAGTTTTAAGACAAGCTTGTGGGGATAACTCATCTTAAGTGCCTGACCGCAGAACAATTTCCAAAAGCTGTTCAGTTGCTCGATACAATTGTATACAATATACACTTGAATAATTGAAGAAAATAAACTCATAGTTCACTTTGGATTTACTTGTTCAGTCCCCCCCCCCCCCCAAAAAAATTGCCACATGATAATGATGCCACATATTACTTTCATATCTTTGTTGTCCTAAAGTGCAAGCTATAGCTCCACTGTAACATGAGTCTCCTTAGATTTTAGAAGTTTGTCTTAGCCTGGCCAAGTGAGAAAGTACCAGGGGAGGAAGGGGGGGGGGGTGTGAAACCTGCAACTTTCGGTTGTTCTTAAAAAAATTGAGTATTCTCGACTGCTGATGATTCCATGAGGAGTTGCTTTCTGGTTTCCCTGGTCCATGGAGTGAGGGGTTGGGGGTTGGGGGGGGGGGGGGGAGTGTCTATTTGACTGCTGTGCATCCATTTTGACAGTAACGATATCCCCCCCCCCCCCCGTATTAATCATGATTCATACCACCGTAGTTTGCGTTAGGAAGTGACCAATCGAGGAGGAAGTATTTGTAGAAACGGACAGTGACATTTTGACCGAATGCATGCAAGACACGGACATGCTCTGCTTGTCTAAAAATATTTACCAAGGTTTTTTCCTGAGATCTGAGACAAATTTTTTAAAAAGTCCACTTGGAAAAACAATCTGAGGAAAATCAAACAATTAGAAAGTTGAACAAGGACACTGACTGGAGGAAGATATAAATGTGTGACCTCTGGATTACTGTGCTGGAAATCAAATAATTGCAAAACCAAATAACGTGAAATGACCCATTTCTTGCAAAAGTGGCCATAACCGTCAAGTCGAAATAGTGTCTGATGCAGAGCTTTCCAAATTACACGAAACGCAATCCTCAACTTTGGGAATATTATATTTGCCTTCCGAGAGTGTCCTTGTGTCAGGATTATGACGAAACCTTAGCTGTATGTCACGATTGCGAGCATGCCCAATATTCGTAATTTAAAGGCTGGAAGAGGAATTGCTTTTGTGAATCAGTGCCAATGTCTAGAAAGAGAATCATGCAATTTGTTTTCTAAATGTTCCCACACCCTTTTTTAATTCCCTGCCAGTAAAAGTTTTTTTTTTTAATATGGTAAAGGATGTAAAATTCTGCTTCCAAATAAGGCATTGATGAACTGGTGCTTATATGAGATGCTTGTTGTCACAATTCTACAAATTCTACAAACTGAAAATGCATTTTGACTTTTTGAGTAATGAAGTTCTGTAAAATGAAACAATTTCAACAAACATTTGTTGTCCCCAGATCCAGATAAAAAAGTTTTACAAGTCTCTGCACAGAATAAAAAATACAATCTATAAGTATAAAAAACCTAACTAGTTTGCCCCACCCCCAAAAAAGGGAAATTTAGTGACATTATCTATTATTACTATATGTTATACAATAAATAAATGACTTCACATTCGAAAAGGTTTTAAAAATAAATAGACAGTGTGACAGGCGCTGATTAGATGTAATTGTTGTTACAAAGTAACCAACTGGGGTTCGTCCAGGAGAATTTCTGATAACCCTTTAAAAAAGATTCTCCTTCTCTTTTTCATTTTCTTATACTCCCTCCCTACATTCCTCAGGATACAATGATCCGTAGCCGTCCGATTAAATATCCTTGTGGATCTTTTTCTCACACTGAAATAAAGAAATCGAACTCTTACACCGTGGGTTGAATTTCTTTGAGAATGTTTTGGGTTCGTGTCTTGGCTATTAATACCCTATGATTAATCATGGAATAGGAATGTAGCAGGCCAAATGCAGCCAGTGTGTTGGGAGAAGTCGGTTGAGTGTAGTGAGTTGGATTGCATCTCAGATTTGTCGTGATTGTGAAACGTGATATGTTTGTCTCATCTTTTATGTGACTGTCACTTCAATTTTTTTGTTAGGGGGAGGGGGAGGGTTTTAAAAAAACGTTCACTTTGGCAGGGTTTGCATCCTTTTTTTTAGATTCATGTTTAGCAATTGTATCAATAATGATAATTGATATAGTCATTGATAATTGATACCATAGCACCATCACGCAGCATCTGCTTTAGTCACTGACCTTCAGAGATGCCAAGTTGCCACAAGTTCATGACATCACATCATCTGCATGACATATCACCGGAAGAATGGTCTTGGTATTCTCAAATTTATTCCTAGTTTTTCATTAGGCCATCACTCACTGGTCCCTTTGTGGAGTTGGTCAAGATTTCTAGGATTCCTTTTGAGTGTCTTGCTTTGGTTGCCATCTGTGTGAGGGTTTGTAGAGGTTCTTGTCGAAGCGATGGAATTTCTGTTCAGTCTGCCTCAGCGGTTCTACATGTTCATCCAGAGTATTTTTTATACCCAGGACCATCGGTCCCAGAGTGAAGGTAAGATGTGAGGATGTTGTTCTTTAAGTAAATTGGTAGGGTTCTTTATTTGGGTTGCTTGTCAGTCAAGTTATTGAGTAGACTCAACGAGCACGTTAATCAGTGACCAAAGTTGTCTCAAGCCTGGTTAAAGCGTCCCCTCTAGGCCTTTCATTTCTTCATCACTTAATTTTGGATATTTCAAAATAAAAAGGTTTTCACAACTTTGTTGTGGTAGGATCACTTTTGCAGCTAAAAAAAAATCTATCTGGTTTGCTGCTAACTGTGTGAATGTAAAGGAGCATGCTTAAAAGCTTTTATTTGGTATCATTAATCCTGTCATGGATGTTTTGGGTGTTTAATTTTTTATGACCGTATACTTTCATTGGACCGTGCGAACAGGTTTGAAAAAATACACTTTATAAAGAACAGGACCACACATATAAATTTCTTCATTCTTTTAAAAAACAAAACAATGTAAAGCGTTTGTTACTTTTACACTTGCTGACTAAAAACTCAATAAATAGAATTGCACAGGATAAAAATCAATAATTAAAAAT